TCTTACACTACTAATGAAAGACTTTTATCCACAGACTTTTTCTTGAAAATTTGTCGCTAAGGGTGATTCTTTACAAAACCGTCACGAAAGTTAGTGGGTAAATTGTTAGTGAGTCATTCAAATCAGTGACAGATTACCTTGGGGTTCTTTGGATGATCCAATTGGTATTTTCTCAAAAAATATCGAATATTACCGAATCAATGGTATTTTCTGGATAATCTGTAGGTAATCACTGACTAAAATTTTTGTTGGTAAAAGTCATTTGTCTTGTAGTGCCGTAAAGATGTTGCTTTTGTGGTAAATACTTTTTCATTTGAGAAAATTGTGATTTGAATAACACTATATTGGTTTGACCGTTTTATAATTGAAACAAAGACTGTTTGAATTCACTAAGCTTTAAGCCTAACAGTTTTTGTCGTCGACATGTACATCAAGTTCTTGTAGGAATGGTACTAGCAATACTTGTGAAGAGTTAAGTACTAGTTGATAGCACAAGGTGAACTTATCTGTTTGAGACGTCTTCCCTACTTTGGAGTCAGCGACACTTATTTGTTTTAGTATCACTCGTTCCTATCTGGTTTTTGTATAGAGTTTGGTTTGAAAGTTGTTGACTTTTAATTTAATTTTGCAATTTAGTGATCCACTTTAAATTAAATTTGGAGTAATTTCAATGGTGAATAAAAAATGTAAATTGTTCACTCTCCATATTTGAGGTACAATAATGTAATTTGATTTGTTATCAACAGGAAACCTTATCGTGATGCAATGTCAAGAAGGAACACTAATATCGAATAGTATCTTCTCCTAAATTTCTAAATTTAATTTAGAAGTTTAACTTCGAAACATAACTGTTAATTGCTAATTTTTACTATTGAGATGTAAATTATGTAGATGTCGACAATCGATAAAATATAGTTATTAATTCTTTTATAACTTCCATGTGAATTATATAACTTTAACCATTTGAAATGATTGAATCTCACGGTCGACCTTTTCATGGTGATGTCATATTCATTTATTTACATCATAATCAATCTTATTATATCATCTTAAAAATATATATATTTTTTAATTTGTTTAACGACTAGCTAGCCATAAAAACCGATGTCACAGTATCTCTTGGTACTTATCTAATACGTGAATGCATAAGTTAGAATATTGATTATTTAGAATTAGAAGAAAACTCGTGCAATGTAACGAGATATATCTTGATTTCAATGTTTCGTTTTATATTTTGATTCTATTGATGTTATAATGTGATTTTTATGTAGTTTTAAGAAAAAGAAAATGTTTTCATTTTTGAATGAAATATAAATTTGAAGATATTACAAAATTTTGAAAAAAAATAATCGATATTAGTATCAAATTAACTATTTAAAAGTTCTCATTTTCGTATAATTTCTTTAATTCAATTTTTTTTATTATAATTTAATTAAAGTTTGATAATGAACTAATTTTATTTTTCGTTTATTAAAATAATTTTTCTAAGATAACAATTAAGTATTCTGTTAGAACTAAATGATTATATTAATTATATTTTATATTTTAAATGGTGTTTGTCATGTATTTGATTATGTTTATCTGCAGTTAGTTACACGAATTCAAACATGAAGTATTAATAAGATGTACTTATGTATATTTTATTTGTAATATTAAATTTTAAGTAATATGCATCAATAAACAGTACTTTATGCATAATTGTTTTAAAAAGTTTTTGTCAAATATTTTATAATATAGTATAGATAATATTTTGTGTTAAACCATTTATTTTTTTTCATCACCCATTTTACATAACAAGTATGTATGTGGTGATGAATAGTTCAATTTTTTCTCTCGTATTGTCCCTCTTTCAGAAATCATTATGGATTATTTACTTTTATAAAAAAAATGTGAGTCATGATGACAGGTTATAAAGAAAATTCAAGATTCTCACAAATTAATATATTAAGTTTAATAGTCAAGGAATGCAAAGTAAATGACAACATGTACAAGTAGATATATACACAAGAAGTAAGATATTGTAAGCATTTAATTTACCACTTGTCTAGAATAAAGGAGAATTTTGGTAAAATAGTAATACTCCGTGAATAAAGAAAGCATATTTGGATCTTAAAAATTTACAATTGAATGCGTGTGGTTGTTGAAGTTTGACTTTGAATTTTAATTGTTATTTTCTATTATTTGGATATAATAAGTTATGTAGGTGCCGGCCGCCTATAAATAATAAATTATATCAAGAGGACCCTAAAATTTATAAACTATAATAATAATAATAATGCAATTTTTGTGTTTTAAAGGCTAAAGTATTTCCTTATCTTTACATCCTTAGAGAAGGCTTTTTTAAGTCGTTCATGCATGCTTATTTTTGTCCTTTTAATTTGCTCTTCTTTCTTATCGACCTCCTTCCTAAATATTCACCACCACAACCACATACAATTATCATCTACACCGCCATCCATTCAAAATCCAAGTTTCAAAAGACGATTGAAAATTAAGATGAACATTACAAAACTAAATACAAAACAGAAACGAACGCATAAAGATCCATAAATATTCATATACTAAAAACTCTAAGAAAAAACCAGATGAACATTTAAGAACCTAAATCTAAATGCCACAACTTTCAAAATAAGAAAAATTTAAACCTTAAACAAAATCTAAATACAAGAAGAAAAGCTAAATCTAGATCAAAATACAAACAAAAACCCATAAATTAGAGCATAAATCTTAATCTAATTACAATTCTAAAAATAAATTTTCAAATTCAAAAAGAAATCTGGAAAAAACGAGATTGAATGGGGAATAAACCTCAAATTCAGAAAAGAACTAAAGCAAGCCCCTAAATCGTCATATTGAAAAACCCTAAAAATAGATCTAGGTTTGGTTGATAGATCGAAAATGATTCTACTTCAAACAAACTTGAATTTAGTTGAGGCTCTTGAACTTCAAATAGAACAATTCAACCGAAGGGTGACAGATGGAAGGTCAAACATCTACTAAGCCACTCTTATATTAAATATCTCAATCATACTAGTGTTCATTAAATATACTTGTTTGAATGATTGAATGCCAAGGTCAAACATCTACTAAGCCATTCTCAACCACGGCGTTGTTTTAATTAATGTTATTTTCATTTTTTTAGCTGAAAATGAATTTCGTAAATATTATCTTAAAGAAATTATTTTTTTAATTTGTTTGACACTAACAAAATTAGTTCAACTTACTCGATATCCATTCGAATAAGTAATCTATACTATATTATAAARCATTTGACAAAAACTCTTAAAAACTATTTTTTATGTATAAAATACTGTTTATTAATGCATGTTACTTAAAACTCTAGATTACAAGTAGATTGTGCGTAAGTACAACTTATTAAAGTTTCATATCTGAATTCATATAATTAACTATAGATAAACATAATCAAATACAGGATAAACATTTCATTTTAAATATAAAAAATCTAAAATATAATTARRATAATCATTGAGTTCTAACAGAATACTTAATTATTATCTCTATAAAATATTATATTATTAAACCAAAATTAAATTATTTTATCATTAAATTTAAATTAAATTATTTTATTATTAAATTTAAATTAAATTATAATGAAAAAAATGTAAATTAAATAAATTACATAAAAAATGAGAACTTTTATATACTTAATTTGATATTAACATTGATATATATATATATATATATATATATATATTTAATTTTTATGGTATCTTAAAATATATATTTTATTCAAAAATAAAATCATTCTTGCTTTCTTAAAAACACATAAAATCGTATTATAACATCGACAGAGACAGAGAATAAAATAAAACATTAAAATCGAGATGTATCTCGCTGCATTGCGCGAATACCCTTCTAGTTCTGAAGAATAACTTTTAATAAAAGTCTGTCCTGCGTCATCGAACTTTTTTGCATGCTTTCTAACGTCAATATATACTCTAGTTCCAATGACTTATCTTGAACTTATGTTCATGCCTAATCATATAATTTAAGGGGTATCTAGTTTGATGAAATTTAAATGAATTCGTTGGAATTGCAAAGAAAATTCCTTTTGACCAAATTTGGTCATGTTTAGTTCGTAGATTGTATTTTGTGAAACTCTACCAACACCTCAACTAATGTCATCGGTGCCACCACTCCCAAATAATATAACTAAAAAAAGAGTATGAAAATGTCATAAAAAGGGTCTGACTAATGAAATTTATAATTGATAGTCACAAGACAACAAAGTGTATGTGGGATCTGGTATCAAAACAAATGATGGGTATAGAGGTTGGAGCACAAATCAAAGTTACCAACTGCATTACAAGCTATGAGGACTTTAAAGCTAAAGAAGGAGAAAGTCTAGAGTTTACTTATGATAGATATTGTAATTGTTGAATGAACTCAAGAAGAATGGTATTTTGAAGACCAACGTTGAGAATAATGTCAAATTTCTGAACCAGAATGGAAGCGGTTTGCTACAACATTATCCATAACAAGAACTTATATGACTTGGATGTTCATTTTATATATGAAAATATCAAGAAGAATCATGAAGAGGTTTAAGAGATTCTAGAGGCTTAGAAAAAGACTGCAAAGTCTTCTTTCATACCATTGGCGTTGGTTTCAAACAAAAAGCAGAGATATTCTTCAAATTCTAGGAGTTCAAGGTTTGAGAAAGAGCAAAGTCATACTTCAAGTGGTGAGGTTGAGGAAAGTGATCCGGATTTAGAGTTGTAAGATTTAAAGAAGACCATGATTCAACTAACACATGCATTTCGAAAGAAGTTCTATAAAAAGCCGTCGACGAACAAACAAACATTTTCTTCATGTTCAAAAAAGTACGATGAAAAGAAATTTAAGGGAGGAAGTATGAGAACACAAAGTTTGATGGGAAGAAATACGAGGGAAAGAAGTCGGGAGATAACACAGTGGAGGATGTTGTGAAATGTTACAATTATGGAAAGCCAGGACACTATGCTAAGGATTGTAGAAAAATGGTGGTCAAGAATTCAGAATACTACAAGAATAAAATGTTGTTAGTGAAACAGAAAGAAGCAGATAAGGCATTAATGATAGAAGAAGATCACTGGTTGAACCTCTCTGACGATGATGAAAAGGTGGAAGCTCAAGCAAATATCTGCTTCATGGCGAGAGAACAAGAGAAATATGATTCTAACAATGACGATCATGGCTCATGTTATTCTGAGTCTGCATTTGAGGTAAAATTTAATCCTTATAATGAATTCGAGGAACAAACATGATTCAGGATTTTCAAGAAAAGTTGAAAAAATAGAATAACTTTGGAAACAAAACTAAAGAAAGAACCTGATATTGTTCTACATATATCTGTAGGAACGCTCAAAATTTAAGTTTTATCTGTTAGTCCCAGACGGATCTACAAGAGTTTAAAGGTAATAGCCTATAGAAGGGAGGGATGAATACTGTTGATCCTCTCTCTGTGATTTGATGATAATCTCTTTTATTCTATGCGAAGTATTTTTTGTTTCTGTCTTTTCAGTTCCAACGATCTGCACTGAGTCTGTTCAGTGATCGCAGAAGAACTTGTATTGTAAATCTAATCAGCGACAACGATACTTCAAAAAGACAACACTCACACCAAAGAACTTTCAGCCAATGTCGAAGACTGAAACTGAAGATTAGAGATTGGCGAGTACGTGATCTGAAGCGGTATTCAGTGATTATGAGCCTGTCTACATATGTGTGAAGACTGCCCAAGCCTCAGGTAATGCTGAAGAGACCTTCAAGTCTTTCCAGCATTCAGTGATCAAACAAAGCTTGCTAAGCACAATTTTTGTTGTCTTGTTCTTATACACACAAAGGACAAACCCATACCCTTTCTAAACGTTAGTACGGTACGGAGCCGACTAGTTGACTCTATTACCCACTAACTTTGTGAAAGGATGTCTGTTTATGAATAGACTTTTGTACTATTCACTGTAAAAAAGGACAAGCCTTCCTATTAAGGCTTGACACGTGTTCTAAACCTACCGTGATGCATTAAATGTGCATTTAATGCAACAGGTATAAATAGATGTGTTTTTATCTCCATGTAGAGATACTCTTAACCAAAAAACCTTACTCTGAGCTTTCTTGCACTTAAGTAAAAGAACACACATCTAAGAACCAATACGCTCATCTTCAAGAGCAAGTTAGAATCCCTTTCATTGTATTCTAAACAAGTTCTCTCCCAGATAGAACTTACTTTCTTCTATTTCTTTAACAACAAATTTTTTCTTATTTGCTAAGATTAAATGTGTAAACTTAATATTGTTTAGATAGGTTTTTCTTACCTTATCTTTTCGCAAACAGTCTTGTAAATTTGTATTGATCTTCCCTTATCAATATATATTTTAAATTTGAAAATATTGTGTTTGTATTCATCCCTCCCTTCTACAAACTGTTATACACATCTTGTAGACCCTAACGGGACCAACAAGTGGTATCAGAGCGGTGTTCTATCTTCTTTAGTTTTTTGGTTGTTTTTTTATTGCATTACTTCATCTTCTTCTCTAGATAATATTACTGCTTTTAAATGGCTTTGCAAAACACAAACACACACGTTCAAGACAATGACTCTCTTGTCAAACCTCCCCGATTCATGACAATTTTAGTCTATGGAAGAATCGTATGTCCCTCTTTCTGGAAGGTGTAGATCTTGAAACTCCACATTATATAGAAAATGGACCATATGTACCATTTGCTATTTCACCGGCTGTTCCTGGAACAGCTATGACTGCCGCGATTCCTGAACGATAGATTCCAAAGCCCCCTCATTAGTGGAGTGATGAAGACAAGAAGAAAATAACTATAAACACTCGGGCTAGGTCTATAATAGCTATGTCTCTTCCTAATGAGAATCACTCAGTGATGAAACTTAGGACTTCTAAATCCATGTGGGACACTCTTTGTGTTCAATATGAAGGAACCTCTCAGGTTCAAGAATCAAGGAAAATTAATTTCGTAAGGTAGTATGAAAGCTTTCTTTGTGGAAAGACTGAGACACTATTTGAAGTACATTAACGTTTTAATTGTCTTCTTATTGATCTTAGGACTGTAGGCAGGGAATATTCCAACTCTGAAACTTTAACTAAGTTTCTGGAATGTCTTCCTGAATCTTGGGACACCTTTTCCATGTGTCTTAAGATGTCCAGTGACATATCCTCTCTTTCTCTTTCTACACTCTACGGGATTTTGCTTAATTATGAGCAATCTCATCAGCTGAAAAGGAATCTAGTTAAAGATTCCAGAGAAATGAAAAGCTCTCCGTTAGCTTTGATCTCGGAAGATGCTTTAACTGAAACCCCTTCTTCTTCTTCTTCTTCTTCTTCTTCTTCTTCTTCTTC